ACTGAGAAGTATTCTATGGTCCTGGTGGTGTTTCTTTTATAGTTAATTTGTTTCCTTTGTCTAACAACTTTTAATATTCTGTTTTTGTGTCAAATTACTGGAATATTGACTATTATATGCCTTCTCTGATCATGAATGATTGGAGTTCTATCTGCCTTGCTTACCTGTATGTAAAATTCTTTTTCCATATTTGGGAAGTTTTCCACCATTACTTCTATGAGCAGGTTTTCTATATAATTTGCACAACTTCCTGGGTTTTTTGGTTGACTCCATCAATCTTATATTGTTTGCATTATCTAGCAGCTGTTGATTGATTTTTCATTGTCCCTTGCTATTTTTATGAAATATTTCTTTTCATAATTGCTAACTGCAATCCTGCCTTCTAGATCTAATGTTCTGTCCTTATATTGGCTCAATCTACTATGTATACATTCAAGGGAATTTTTAATCTCCTGGATATCTGTTTGAATCTGTTTCATTGATTCCCATTTCTTTTCTATATTGGGTATTCATGGTTTCCATCATTTTTCTAAGCACCTCTATTTTTTATCTGTAATAACTATAGAGTAGCTAACCATGTCTTTCATTATAATCACCATCTCTGTAGTTTCTGAGAAATTACTTCTGATTTGATTTTTTTCTAGAGTATCATTCATATACTGTGTTACTTCTTATATTATCATTTCAGAGATGCCAGTGTGTGGCTTTAAACTTGATCCATCTCATTGCCAAAGGAATGAATCACCTTAGCTAAAGTAGTACAATTAGAATAAAAATAGCATCAAATATTGCCTAGAAAAATGACAAACTATGGTAACTACTAACTTGCCACATTTAATTGAATGAACTGGATTTTTTTTTTGTTATATAACAAAATCTAAAATAAACCAGATAACTGTATAAAGTAAACATGCCCTCAATATGGCTATTTTATCATCAGGAGAGAAAATTTTTAAAGGGGGAAATACAGAAGTAGAAGAGGAAGAATTCAAAAACAAGGTTGGAAGATGTTCCACTCATGTTCTGGCTGGTTTATAGCTGTGAGGTTAGAACCGATTTGCTCAGCCTGCAATACTCTGTGTGACTCCTGCCATCTTGAACTCAGTTCCCTGCCTGCTTGAACTTGACTCCTTGACAATCCTGCTAACTTAAAAGTCAGTTCCACATCATCTTCCCACTGGGAGTGGCTACATAGAACCACTCCATTGCTAGACTGAGTTCCCAGCCTAGTTGGCTCCTCTCCAAGATGGCAAGCAGCTAATTGTCTTCTTCCATTTGAATTAAAGTAATTCACCATCTACTGCAATCCACTGCATCCACTGCCCTGTTCCACTGGTATGTTTCTCCATGGAGGCTTCTGGGATCACCAGTAGACACTGTTGGCCTGCAAGTTCAAACCACAACTTCCATGCAGTGAGTTAAGGCTTAGGGAGAAAGCACCATTTGCCATCTCCTTCTTCTACATTAAGGTCTCTCTCTTCACTCTTGCCATGGGCTTCAATCTTCAATTCTCAGTTTAGATCCTTGGTAGGTCTCTCTTCTTTTTCACACTGTTGTATTCCAGTGTCTAGACACTAAATCTTAGAGAGTCTATTTCTGTCCTGTTCACTACTCTGCTGTCTTCCCAGAAGTATTTTCTTCTTGCCCTGATGTGAAATCCTTAGCTATTTTTAATGCCATTGCCTGAATGTTGGACTACTTTAAAATTTCCTCTGCCAGGTTAATTAGTTCATCACTCTTAATCCCAATCTCTTGAAATGTCCCAGGACCTTTACAAAACAAAGATAAACATTATTCTAGTGTGTAACACCCATAATTTCCAGTCCAACTGCCAATGGAGTAATTCGGCCAAGTGAAACCTCCTGAGCCTAGTTTTCACTGTCTGAATTCTCACCAATATTCTGGCCTTCTGAGCTCCAACAAGTATCATCCATCAAACATTGCTCACAATATTCAAGAGCTTCTCTAACCTGCATCTCTAAATCTTTCCAAAGTCCTCTTGCAAGCCAATTCCAAAAGCTTCCAAACTACATTTCAGCTATCATCACAGCAATAACTCCATCTCTGATACCAACTTACTGTATATACTATACTATACTGTACAATTTACTGTCAGTGAGCTAGAATGTCTGATACCCATCACTTAAAGGAGGTTTACTTTGGCTCATGCTTTTCAAGAGTTTTTATAAGGCTCATGCTTAGTCCATGTTTGACTGGCTCCAATGCAGAAACAGCATGGTGTAGGAGTGCTGTTCTACCTATGGTAGCCAGGAAGCAGAGTGAGAAGAAATGTAGGAACTTGGGAGCCAAAATACACCATTCTAGGTCACACTCCACTAATCCACTCCTCCAGCTAAGGCTACCTGCTAGGAGCATATTCAACTACTGAGTTCATCAATGGGTGAATCTACTCATGGATATACAACAAGATCCCTCCATCTAATCATATTCCAAATATCTGAGACATTTTGGGGACATTTTAAACCTAAACCATAAAAGAATCTGGATTATTTTATTTAACATAATGACCTCTAGTTCCATTCATTTTCTTGCAAATTATAATCTTCTTTATAGCATGTACATATATATCACATTTTATTCATTCATTTATATGTTGAATGTGTATCTAGGCTGTTTCCACTGCTTAGTTGTTGTAAATTGCACTATTATAAATACGGATATGTAGCTATCACTATCATGTGCTCTCTTTAATTCTATTAGGAACATGCCCAGGAGTGGTATAGCTAGAATGAATGGTATTTCTATGTTTAGTTTTTTGAAAAATTCTCAAATTTATTTCTGTATTGGTCATACTAGTTTTATATTCCCACCAAAAATTTAGAAAAATTTCTTTCTCTCTGCATTCTCACTGGCATTTTTGATTTTTATATTCTTGATGGCACCCATTCAGGCTGAGGCAAGATTGAATCTCAAAGTAGTTTTGATTTGCATTTCTCTAATGACTAAATATGTTTATTGGGCATTTGTACTTCTTATCATTGAGAAATGTCTATACATATTATCTTCTCACTTTCTTACTAAATCACTTGTTTTCTGAGGGTTACTTTTTTGAGTTCTTAATATACTCTAGATATGAACCTCCTATCAAAAGAGTCCAAAGCCAATATTTTCTCCCACTAGATGGGTTGTCACTTAACTCTGTTAGTTTTGTCTTTTGCTGTCCAGAAAATTATAATTTGATGTAACCTCATTTGTTGATTCTTGATATTATTTCTTATGCTTGGAGTCTGTCCTATTTAGGAAGTCTTTGCTTTAGGCTTCAATTGTTTCCTGTGTTATCTTCAAGAAATGTCAAAGTTTCTAGTTTTATACCTAGGTCTCTGAATTTCATTTTATTTTAATACAGGATGAGATACAGGGATAAAGTTTTAATTTTCTGCATGTAGAACCCAGTTTTTCCAGAACCATTTGTTAGAGACTGTCTTTTCTCCAGTGTAGGTTTTGGCTGCTCTGTAAAAAACCAAATAGCTGTAGGAGAATTTGTTTGTTCTTGTGTCATCTATTGCAGTCCATTGATCTAACACGTCTGTTCTTGTGCTGGTCTCATGCTCTCTTTGTTACCATGTCTAGCCTACTCAGTAAGGTTCTAGAACCTTCAAGTATTTTAGCTTAATGATAAGTTTGTAGCTTTGCATAAGTACAAATGAGGCTCTCCCATATCCCTTTGAGATATTAATTCCCGAATCTCTAAGATGCTGAAAGCATACTGTTTGGGTTCAAATTTAGACCCTACCATATACTATCTGGCTGCAGATAAGTTACATAAATTCTTTGTGTTTCATCTTCTTCTATAAAATGAATATTGGTAATAGTCCCTTCCTCATAGCAGTGATATGTGCAATAAATAAATTGATGTGACTGAAATAGTTAGAACAGTGCCTGGCAAAGGAAGTGCTCTAAAAGTCCTGGCATATGCCTTTGTGTTAAAGTCCCACTCACTGGACTTTAGCTCACTGATCTTATTTTAAAATGAGTTTTGAGGGTGTCCCTTATTTTCTTTCAAGATGACTATCACTTAAAAGTATGTCTGTTACAATTTATCCATAATCTAATCAAATCACAGCAGGAGGGCTATACTGTTGTCATTGAGAAACTGAGTAGAAGAGATCACCTCAAAGCAGAAGCGAGGCTTTCCTAAAGACTGAGGTCCTTTGAACATGTTAAACTTTCAGGAAGAGAATAGGATGAAAATAGAGCAATAAAATACTGCTCTGTTCCAGATTGCCTTTAAAAATGTGACTATGAGCTCTACATTATGTTCCAGCAAAAGCCCTCTTTACCCAGCCAGATAACCCTCAATAAAAATGGCTCCTGTCTTCTTTCTCCTATACTTAGGCTGTGTACAATTATTTATTATAGTATATGTATCATTTTATTTCTCATTCAATTTTATACCTGGTATATAGTAATGTAGTTCTTGATAAATATTTATTAAATGCATGTATGAACAAATAATGAATAAGTAAGGGACAAAGGCAAAGGAGGTAAATACATCAGAAGAGTGGGCTTTTTTATAATTTAAAGGTGAGGACAAAATTTATCCCGCAACCATTTTAACATGTTACATTTTCATGTTAAATATTATTTAAAGGCACAGAAATAACTGAACAAAAAACCAAAAGCATTTGGTTGTTGCTAGGAAGTAAAGCCAAGCATAAGAAGAGATGAGTCAAGGATATATCATTTTTCTTTAAAAGTTTTCTGTATTATTTCACTTTTAACTATGTACTATTTGATTTTAAATTACATGTATTTTGATTAATTGAAACATTTAAATGTAAAATTAGTCATTTTTAATCTGTTGGTAACTCAAAGTAGTTTGTTGTACTTTTGACCTCAAAGGTTGAGTACAGTTTATTTTTAAATTTTCCGCTGAGTTCTGGTTACTGAAGAATGTTGACCCACAGCCAAGTTGATAAACAGAATTTTGAACTTTAATAGGGCAGTTCCAATGGACCAAGACAAGCCTACTGACTTGCAGATAGCTATAAAGGGACTGAGTGAATCAATTAACTCCAAGGTTTTCAGAGATCTCTTGATATCAAAGTTTTTTTAACACGTGTCTCCTCTGACCCTGCAGATATGAAAATTGACATCCACAGCCATATTCTACCAAAAGAATGGCCAGATCTAGAAAAGGTAATGGCAATTTTCTGAATTATTTCTGGAAATTCTCCAGGATTTCTCAGTGCCCATATTTATAGCCTTTTGTCTTCTTTTGGGAGTTTATTTGCTCTGAGGTGATTCTAAATTATTTTTGGTAGTTCTAATTTCCTAGTTTTTAAAAATAACTTTTATGTTTTTTTTAAAGAAATAAATGCCTTCTCAAAATCTTTTACTTTTCCTTTCAAAAAAAAAAAAGCAAATTTATGGGCAATTTAAGTTAAGCAGATTTATTTATTTTTAAATCACACACTCAATCTGCTGTAAAGATACAGCAGAATTTAGTTATAATTTCAACTAAAATGCTATTAAAAGTTGGATGTGATAGGTTTGAAGGACTTCTAAACTATAACTGTTTTCCAATGTTAAAAATAAGTTTTAGAAGTACAAGGAGATAGCTTCGTTAAAAAAATTTTTTTAGTCTATTTTAGGACACTTGTCTGAAGCCTTTCCTTTTTGACATTTAAGCTGTAAATCCTTGTTATAAAGAAATGGGAAGTAGGTAGTAAAAAAAAAACCCTAGAATAAATGATATGAAGTCTTGCATGATGAGTGTCCATAAAAATGTACCCTCTATGTTTCTCTAAATATGGAAACTTCTTTTGTCATGAAGACCTTTTGAATGAATACTAAAAGATGAAAGTATGGAACATGAAGGAAATTTTAAATTGACTAAGAGTTTGTTCAAGCTTAGTATCAGGTCTCACCCAGCCTTTGGCATTCTTCTAGTTCTTTCATATCACTGATAAGTTTTATCATTTTATGCCAAGTGAGAGAAAATGAATTGACCCAAACTCTAATTAAAGTGTGATTCATTGTGTTAGTAAATGAAACTATTTTCCTTCAATAGTTGTCTCCAACAAGAATGTTAATCTTAAGTCCTTCTCTGTCTAGTTGGTATCTTAGGTAAAAGGGATGGTAAAAATTGTAGATTCAAACATGCAAATGATGTCGGACCTTCTCGGAAAGTCTATCCTATTAAAGCTAGCGGTAAAAGGAACCTAGCTGATCTATGTGCGTGTGTGTGTGTGTGTGTGCACACACACACACACACACACACTTCTGTTTACATGGGAACATTGATCTATCCTCAGCAAAAACTGTTAACTCCAGCATTACAGCTTTTCTCTTCATTTGAATATCAATGAACACCTACACTAAATGCTCTGGTAGCTCCCATGATGGTCTCTAGTGTACACCTGTGACCATAAGACAATCTGACCCAGCCATCTAGAGGGTGTCACAGCATCAAGGGCTCCAAGCTTCATGGCATTGACCTTTTTGTCTAAACAAGGATTTTGAGATTTAAAGAGTACTATGGTCTAAATTTTTGTGTAAACCCAAAATTCATTGGGATAAATAGATGTGTGCCCTGGAAAATCCCCAAGTGTTTATCTCACTGCCTCTTTATACTGCCTCACCCTCCTATCAAGCAAGATTTATTGCCTTGAAAAATGGAATAGTATTTTATTCCAATGACCAGCTGTCTACCCAGCAGTCTCATATGTGCAAGAAGACTTGATAGTATACTTCATTATCATATAATAACAATGATATTTGTCATAATAGTTTATATTTCTAGGAAATGTATACTAAAAATGCATATATCAGGAAAAGGAGAGCTTATATAAATATTTTAATTCTAAATTTGTTGAGACATCATGAGATTAGTACAAGTTTCCTTTGGCCTCCACAATTACAAGAGGTACTCAATTACAAGAGGTAGCCCTTAGTTTCCAAACATTTATTGGTATAGTGAGATGCTAAAGTATGTATATATTTCTGGTGGTTCTCTCTCTTTATATATATATATATTTTTGTATATTAATATTTATATCTATATACCTATAAGTATAGATACATAGACAGAGATATGTACAGATACATATAGAGATTTTATATATATATATAATTTGATTCATATAAAATCTTGTGACATATGCAGATAATATTATTAACTTGCTAGACAAGTAAAGTGCTTGATATTTAGAAATATACCTGGAGCTACACAGGAGTACAGTGGTCCCTCCAGAGGACCATCACTCAATCCACTTTGACAAAAGTAGCCAGAGAACATATGACTGCTGTGAAGGATATGCATGCTTCTCTCTGCTTTCCAATGCCCTTCTGGATACCAGCCTATCCCCCAATTCTTCACATTCATGTAAGTCTGCCAGTGCTTACACTGGTACTTGCCTTCCAACCTACAACTTAAACCACTGGCTCAGCTACATGATAGAGGTTTTCTTCTGTGAGCCTAGTGAGCCAGTGATGGATCAACTAGGCAAAACCTGCCACCCTTTCCAACTTGAATGACTAAGCCATATATAATAGGGCTGAGATCCTTCATTTAGTCCCTTCATTTCTAATCCATGTGGTCAGGAAAGTGAGTATTAAAATGACATTAACTACAGAAAATTTCTTTTGTCTGCAAATTATTTCTTAGTGTAGAAAAGTGTAAAGCTCAAATAGCTTAAAGAACTTTCTCACTATTTTTTTCAAACTTTTTAATAAAGAAGGGAAAGAATAAGCCAGTACTATTTTTATCTGACAAGATGAAATCCCTTTGGAAGAAGTAATGTCTCCTTTCAAACTTGTCTTCCTTCCTTAAATATTGAGACCTATACACAACATTGACATTCTTGTGCAAAAGCAGAATCAGCACACCTGGGTTAATGATTAACCAAAGATTACGAAGAGCTGAAATTAAAGAAATCTTTCATTTTCATTTACTAATGATGATTTAGTCAAAGTTATAGTCAGAATCCTTTTTTAAAAATCTATCTGAGATGGATAGCAGATTCAAGCAAACTTAATTAAATGGTTTTAATGAACAAGTACCCACACTCCACGCTGTCATAAATAGGAGCCCAAGGAGCCATAGTGAAAGCTGTCTGAGCCTGAATACAATGAAACCATTGATGATAATGGTGAGATTTTGCCTTTTTTCTTCAGCAAGTCTTTACTGACTACCTACTATATGGCCATTAGAACAACTTGCAAAATTTCAATTTTAAGTGGGATAAAAAAATTCTAGCTTTAATTTTAAAGCGCATATTTAAATCTTTCATTAGCAATGGTTTAACTGTATTATTGAAGGTAAAATTTTCAGAGACAAAATCTCAGACATAATTTGACTTTTCAACAACCATTCTGAGGAAATAGATATCTGGTATCATCACCCAGGAGGTTTACGAGTTACCTTGTATGAGGTCTCAAGGACACTGAAAATATTATTCAAGAATTTGGCACAGTGGTAGGAATCTGTAACCCCAGCTACTCAAAGACTAAGGCAGGAGGATCAATTGAACCCAGGAGTTCAGAGTCATCCCAGGCAACATAACTAGACTTTGTTAAAAATAAATATATAAATAAATAAAGTTGCTGGCATACACAAAAAGTCACTGAGTCATATATATCCATATCAGAGTCATATATTCCATTCTTCCATTCTGAGTCATATATATCCATATCAGAAACATACTCTTGTATATAAAAACTAAATTCCATTGAAATTTTTAAATTTGCTTTTTATTTATTATGCCATTAAGTGCCTAAGGCATTTTAGTCATTGTAAGTCAAAACAATATCAGACTATAAATGTCTCCTGGCATAGGCTCAGCCTAAACCACTCCTATAGTCATAGATCCAAAGTTTAGCTCAAGTCAGGATGAGAGCTGGAGGACAGTGTGGAGCCCAGATCTGGAACAAATGAATTGCCCTTAAACAGGTTAGGTCTTTGCAAGTAGCCTATGAAAAACTTGAACACAAAACTTTTCAGGAAACAGAAGGGAAAGCACAGAGTGACAAAAAGCTCTTTCCTTCACAGCTTTCGGTAGCATCTGACCCCAGGATATTCCATCTAGGGGCACAGTAAGGCTGTCACATAATTGTTACTCCCATCACTGTCTGACACACATTACCACCTCCACTATTACCAGTGCTGCTGCCATCATTACTGGTATGGAAACTGCTGCCACCACCAACACTGTCATCATCATAAATGATACCACCACTACCACCATACTGACAACCATTGCTACTACTGCTACCACCTCACTCCTTCCACCACTGTCATTGGCACTGCTACTAAGACCATCTCTAATCCTGCCTGTAATGTTAGTATCATTAACAATGATAAAGCCTTATCTATAAACCAGGCCTTGTTTGAGTTGCTTTATGTACTTTATCTCAATTAGTTTTCCATAATACCCTCTCTCAGCTATTTCAGTTAGTTCCATTTTATGCATAAGGAAATAGTAACTTGAAGATGTTAAATTACTTCAACAAAGTCAAGATCCTTAAAAAGTGATTTTTGCATGTAGCAGGATCCCTCTGCTCTTCCTTCCTCCATCTCACCATCCTTGCCCAAATAGAATTCTTCCCTACCTACTAACATATGAGCAAAAGTTATTTACAGAATTAAGAAACAGTAAGAAAGTGAGAAAGAAATGAACAGAGGAATAAATAAAACAGGAGAGGAGGAAATAAAACAGAAGAAGAAATAAAAAAAAGGAAATAAAACCTTTTCTTCCATACTATGACATTTTAGTAGCAAATTTTCAACTTAAGAGCGTACTGGTAGTCTCAAATTTACTCTAAATTGTAACTGATTAAGGTCATTTTCCACCTCTGTATTCAACATGTGTCTCTTGGTAGCTTTTTCCAGGGGAAGAAAGAGCAAAGTGCAAGGGTTTTGAATGCATGAAGGGAAGAATGTGAAGGGTTGGGTCATTCGCTAAGGAGAAATTGGGTGCAGGGAAAAGAAAGTGGGCCCCTGTTGACAATTTCCCTTGCATGCCCAGTCACTAAGCAGAGGCTGCAGATGTCACTAGGCAGAAAGCACATAGATTTCTACAGCTAATACTATTTGCAAATAGAACTCAAAAATAGGTCTCATATCTGAGTAAAATAAGATTGGAATAGAACTAATCTGAATTTTAAAAGCCTGTCAAAGCAGATTCCAGTCACAGATACAGACAAATATGTCTATGCTGCTCTGTGGTCCAGGCCCAGACTTTCCCATTTAGCCTGGAGGAGAGAAGAAAGCTAGGAGGAGCAATTTATCGGGACCTATCTCCCTCTAAACAACATCCCTGAATCATGACATCAGAACCAACCACTGTCACCTGCTATCATCCAACTTTAAGTGGGAAATGGTGCTGAAATTCAACTTACTTGATCCATCTACTGCATTGCTGATAGTTTAGAAGCTTGTGATGAACTCCTAGATGTTTCCTGTTTTTACAGCTTCCCTCCTTACATCATGCTCCAAAGTCATGCTTTGGAGCATAGAAATTTCAAACATGAGAATTTCTTCTTCCATATGATAACAGACTACCTTTCCAGTCTCCCTCCTGTGAAACCAGCTGATCACGATGTGGATGGTCTTCCTTCCTCTAGGCTTCCAAGGATATTGTGCAGGACTGTAACAGCAGGTCTCATATACAAGACAGCTCTTGCATTGTTCATCCACCCCCAAACCCAGGCTTGGAAGTCTTTGCCTCACATAGCCTAGAACTGCCCATAACTTTTATTTTCTCTGCCCTAGGAAGGCTAGTCACAGATGAGACTACATGAGGGTTTGGGGAATGAATAAATGAAGGGATGAATGAAATATATTTTAAAACCTGCAGTTATATGAGTAATAGATAATATAGTCTTAGGCAGTGGCTTTCAAAAGCTTGTATCCATGACTCCCCAGGAAGAAATATATTTATATTATGACTCAGTAGAAACATTTGCATATATATGACAGGCAAAAATTTTTGAGAAACTAATATTAAATAGATTTTTTCCATTTTATTCAATTTTATTATACCCTATTCTATCCCAATTCTATCTTATCCTTTCCACTTTTATCTTAGCTTACATTTCCTAAGAAGTAGATTGACACAAGGATTTAAATGTGAGAAGTTTGAATCCTGCTTTGGAAGTGATCCGAGAAAACCTTAGTGAGTGAAGAAGTGAGGCAGGCAAAGCAAGATGGTCAATGAAGCCATCTTATAACATTATATATAATGTTATATAATTATAGTGTACCCTTGCCTGAGTTATCCTGACCAGAAGTATGATGTCAGTGTATTTAGTGTATTTGTATACAAATTATCTCAGTCATTGGTTGAGGGCTGCTGAGCAGGTGGAGAGGGAAGCCTAATTTCCTGGTACTTCTTGTCTAGAAGGGTTTGATCAAAGAAGGTTCCAGGGATACAAGGGAAGCTCTCAAAGCTGATGCTGGCAGTTAGGGGTGAGCTGCTATGCCCTGAAGCATTAAAGAGAAAAAATATGAATGGGGCACTGGTGGGATCTGCTACTCATACTATTTCATGTTTCTAAAACGTCTAAGTCCCTAGCCACTCAATAGATTTCATGATGTATTCATAGCTTGCAACCCACAGTTTGAAGAGCAGTATATATTCCTAAATGAGAGTGACTGTTAAATTCCACATACTCATGGTAGCCTGTGAAATTATTATAGGTGTTACATAAACAAATGTATTTTAATCCTAATCTTCACTTTAAAATTTCAAACTGTATGAGGAAGAAAGGAAACTGCTACTTTCGACATATAAAATATCCTTTTGTGTTTGAATATACATATACATCCAGTTAACTGTATATATTGATTTAAGTGTAAATACAGAATAAGCAATATGTGGCTATAGGGGACAAATGGGATGATGATGCCTAAAAAGATCCTCAGCCCTGAAGAGGCCCCTTTACTACAGTCCTTTCTTTTTTTGCTCTGTAAGTCTAACTGTGTGTCTCACCATTGCAGAGATTTGGCTATGGAGGCTGGGTGAAGCTTCAACACCACAGCAAAGTAAGTTTCTCCCAAAGTGTGAACATGAGTGGGACCCAAGGACATCCTAAGCCTTGAGATATCTTACTGTAGGGTGGGTCTCAGGAAATCAGCCCACCTGTCCTGGTGTAGTTGGCAAGGGAGCAGCACTGCTCAGAATCATTAGAAAAAGTGGGGGATGGCTTCAAAGCAGCATTTAAGAAGATACAGTTGACATTTGAGAATCCATTAAGAAATCTTTTGTTTTCATTCCTGGAAACAATGTTAGCACTTACTGCTCTGCCATGAGGAACTGATCTTGTCCTCTGCACAGTTCATTATAATGTATTATGGTAAAGTAAATGAAACAGGTTTCAGCACAAGCTGGAGAAACCAAATACTAAAATACTAAGACAAAAGGGAAAAGCCACTATTATTGAGGACTTAATTTTGATGCCAGAAGAGGAACACACTGAGGCATAGTATTCTGCAAATAATGAACTCTGATAAGTGAGGCAGGAGTCTAAACCTGTACAGAGTTTGAATTTGGCTTCATTTTCAAAGTATTCTCTTGGAGTCCAAAGGAAACTTTCTTGAGTTTCTTGCAGAAATATAGACATGATTAACATGGGCCCTGGAGGATCTATGGTCTTAGAAAACAGTTATGTGCCAGGTTAACCCAATGCAGCTGTAAGGTTAGAGTAGGGTGAGGACTGCCTTTGTGCTATGTAGTAATGAGCAAAGATTTGAGAATCAAGAATTAGCAAAGATCTTCTGGAGGAAGTGATGCTTGACCTGAGTCTTGAAATAGAGCTAAAGTCTTGCCCAAGAAGTAAAAAAACAATTGTTCCAGAAAAAGAAGACAGGTAACAAAAGCATAGAAATATTAACTATATGTGAGCCCAGAACTCAGCACTCAGCTATGGCTGGCACCAGCATTTCCTAAACTGTGGCCCTTTTACAAACAGGCTCAGCATCATCTGAAAACTTGAAAGAAATACAAATTTGTGGTCCATACCTCAGGAACTCTTGTGGAGCCAGCTATCTTTTAATGAGCTTAAGTATGAGAACTCATGGCATATATATATATATATATATATATATATATATATTCATTCATTCAATAGTTTTTTATTTGTGTTTGTTTTGTTTTTTACAACAAGGTCTTGCTCTGCAGTTCAGGGTGGTCTTCTGCTCACTTTGTAGCCCAGGGTGGTCTCAAACTCATAATGATCCTACTACCTCAGCCTCCTAAGTACTGAGATTACAGGCATGCACTACCATACTTGGGTCATTCATTATTTTTTAATGAAATGTTTTGTACTATGCCCACCTGTCTAGACACTAGCAATATGCTATTGAGCAACACAGAGAAAGTTCCTGCCTTCATGGTGCTCAGATGCTATGGGAAACACAAGTGAATGATTAATTCCAACAGGGGAATAAAAAACAGTGCTGCTATAGAGGGTAACAGGCTGTTCAGGCACTGATGTGGCAAATACATCAGTGACAGACAAAGAAAACTTTGAGAATGTTCCTGGCTGAGGAAACAGCCAGTTACAAAGAAGAAAAGAGTCAATGTGTTCAAGGAACAAGAAAGGAGAGCAATGTGGATGAGATGCTGTGAAAGGGGGAGATGGTAGGAAATGGGCCCATACATAAAGATTTGCAGGAGTCTGGATTGTAATCCTCAAAAAATGCAAATTTTTTTGGAAGCTCTTTATAGTTCTAAATGAACAGTTTTCTCTGTGAAGAATGGACAGAGGCAGGCAAAAGTTTAGGGAAAGGAGCTGAAGAGGTGAGCATAGCCTCATGAGGCAGAGACTTGAAGGATTTAGAAGTTTAGGCCCAAAATGAAATTTGGCTTTTGTACTTGATCCTGAAGGCAACAGGGAATCATTAAAGAGTTTTAATCATCAGAATCTTTGTAAAAGCTCATCTTTACCATCTCCAGAGAGTGTACTCTAAGCACCAATTTAAAGACAGTTTCATTCTTGTATTCCCATGTTAGTTTTTGGCTTCAAGTCTCTGCAAGGAAAAGTACACCAGGAGTGGAGCTGCCTACAAGTTTATCAGGAAACGCCAACTGCAGAAACAGAGGCAGCCTCTGATTTTTTCCTTACTGTGTATCTCCAGCTGAAGGTTGTCCCTCAATAGTGATTATATGAATGGCCTTCATTTCACTTTAATACAAAGAGATTTCATCAACTTAGCAGAAAATCTCCCAAAGCAAACAAGAATAAAAATAATTTCCAGTCACATTTTCTAATCTACTTATCTCCAGCAAAACTGATTACAGTAGTAGTCTAATGGAACAAAACTGGAATGCTTTCTTTCCCACTCTCTCATAAAGCTAAGCAAAACATAATCAAATCTATACTTTTCATAATCACAGAGGTCATAAATTATAGTCACTAGAAACCAACATGTAAATGTATACCATCATGCAAATTAACCAGGAGCATTGAGACAATCCAGAATTTGGGATTTTAAAACTCTTTTTATTCTCCTACATTCCTTTAGTAAACAAATATCTTCTTCCCCTATGATTAGCTTACTTTAGAGATTATTGCTCTCTTAAAGTTTTCTCCAAAACATTTTTCTGGTTTAATCTATTTGTTTTTTTTAAACCTCTGGATTTTTTTGTACTTTAAGAATGACTTTGGAGATAGTTGTTTGCCATGGAAAATCCTTGATCAGAATGGTAAAATATCACTTGTCTTTTGGTTGAACATTTACAAAAATATGAGTAGTAAGCCAATTCTTAGTTAATGTGACAACCTACCAGGAGTTTCTTGGGGTTAGAGTGTGTGTGTAATTGTTCCCCAACAGAAAAAATATCTGGAAGCATTTTAAAGGCTACAACTTAAGAGAGCAGACACAGAGCCCATTTCAAACCTATAGGTAAACAGCAACTAAAAAATATCCTTCTGAGTGTTTCCTATGACCTTGGGAACAAAAATACACACCTCACAAACAGATATTGCATGATTTTCAGCATATTTACATATACAATTTCATCTTATTCTCCACTGTAATGAACTAAATGTTCACCTACCACAGTTTACATATTTGAAGCTATAAACCCCTAATATGATGGTATGAACCCCTAATATAATGGTATAAACCCCTAATATGATGTCTTTAAAAAATGATTAGGTTAGATAAGGTCATGAAGAAGGTCTTAATGTTGCATTAATGCCTTAGAAGACATACCCAAAACTTCGCACTTCTTTCCACCATGGGAGAACACAGCACACAGTTAATCATCTACAAACTAGGAAGAAGGCCGTCACCTGGAACTGAATTAGTTGGTACTGTGCTCTTGAACTCTACAGCCTCAAGAGCTGTGAGAAATAAATGTTGGTTAAGCCATACACCTATGGCAGTTTGTTATAACAACCTATACTAACTTCTTTTCATATGGGTACAGCCCATATTAACTTAAACACCCACTTACTTGGTTTCTGCTCTGAAGATGATTTTGCCCTTGATGTCCAAGCAAACACTCACATGAATGAAGCACATACAGACAGCAGCAATTTTTTACTAAATGTGCAAAAGAAACAACAGTAAAGGAGTTCAAAGGAGGTGAAGAGTCCAAGGAGCAACTTTTAGGATGATAAAGAATTGTATAACAATAGAGCTAATAATTATCTTATATAAATGTAGGGCTAATAATTATCTAATCTAAATTTAAAAATACAGATTTTAATCCAAAATGAGCCATAATGTTAATGTAGTAAGTTAGGCCATATAAATAAAAATAGATCACAAAGCAATATAGCACAATGTACTCCTCATGGTAAAAGTAAATAATGTTTCATAAAACTTTTGACTAGATTTGCATCTGTATAAATATAGGCATATAAGTATTCTCATATGCACAATGAAACATACATTCCTTAATGTGAGGTCCCAGCCAAAACTGACTGAGGCTAGGGCTATAGCTCAGAGGACAAGTAACTGCTGGCCAACCACTAGGTAATAAATTCAATCTCTGATACAAAAAAAAAAAACCAGACTGAAACCCAGTGATCTAGATAATGTTCTCACCTTATATTTTTATTAAGATTAATTTATTACATAAATAATATTTGCTTAAATTCTCATTTTTTAAGTAGATGATCTATTTTTTATTTAAAGAGAAAAAAGCAAAACAGAAAAAAGGGTAGAAATAATACAGAAATTCAACAAAAAATTGCTAGGAAATCACTAGTTGGTAAATTACATATTGTCATCTTAGAAATAGTTGTTTAAGTCACAAAATTAAAGCATAAAAAATAGACAGTCAATGAGAGTGGAAACCACTCTGTTCAATGATCCAAAAAAACTTAGTAATATGGTTATCTATCTTACACACTTAAACATATATGCAGTTATATCCTCTAGAGCACTTTCCCTCCCTTTCTTTTTTACAATAGCTATTACAAATTTTGGATTTCAATACTCCTATAGTTTTTATTACTGTTTGTACCAGCAAGACAATGTGATATTTACAAATATGATTCTTATTTATTTCACTTATGAGGATAGTCTCCAGTTGCCGCCATTTACCTATAAAGGCCTCAAGATTATCCTTTTTATAGCTCAGTAATATTTCATATCATGTATTTTTCATCCACTCTGCAGTTGATGGCCATTTTGGTTGTTTCCAAGATTTAGCTATTATAAATGTACTGCTATAAACATGGGTACACATGTATCACTGTGACATGACCTTTCCAATTTTTCTGGAAAAATACTCAGGAGGGGAATAGCTGGATTGAATGGAATTTCCAATCCTAGAGAAATCTCCATACTGATTTCCATAGTGGCTGCACCAGTCTACACTCCCATCAACGGTGGAGAAGTGTTGCTTTTTCCTCGCAGCCTCACCAACATTTGTTATAAGTTGTTTTCTTTTTTTTTTTTAATTTTATTTAAGGAGAAAAAGAAAAAAAACAGAAAAAGGGTACAAGTTATGCAGAATTTCAGAAAAAATAAACAGTAGGAAATCACTAGTTAATAGATTACATATTGTCATCTTAGAAATAGTTGTT